TATCACAAGTTTTACTGTGTAAGTATCATATAACTAAAAATGTGAGAAGTAGAAGTTTGCGGTAGGGACCAAACAAATCAAGGGCGTAGACGGAAAAATGGTCAAATATAGTGTTATATTAGAAAGTATAATAGATAATAGATGCCTTGAATGTTATACTAAATTCTTTTACTGAGGAGTTATATGTTAAATCTATCATACAATTCAAAAGGGTGTGCGTTGAGAAAATTATGTATGTGATAAAAAATATTTATGTTAAGATATGTTTTTATTTGTATGAAATTGCTTTTGATTGTGATAACAAGGCAATCCAAATTGTAAAATCTGGACAAGCTCCTGAACAATATTGGATGTTGGATTAAGAATTAGTTTGTGATAATTTGTGATATTAAGGAAGAATTATTTTGAAATCCGAACAAATAAATGAATATCATAGGAGATTGACTTTGAGTGTGATGTAGTTGGGATGCATCAGAAATTCAAAATTCAGACTTACTTTTTACCTTTGACAGGCTTGCTCATAAGACAAGGCGATAAAGAGTTAATTCTATTACTTAAAACATATAATTAACCACTCATATAATTTTATTCTATATCACTTTTTATTTTAATTAATTTTAAAATAAATTAAAATTTTATACCCCTTAACCATTTACATTAAAGGTATTAATTCACAATTTAAATTCATATTTATCAAAGAATTTGCCTTAAAATATTTAACATGTTTACCATCAGCCAAATCTGTTTTCACTCTCTATAAACACTTATCACTCTTTTTTTTTTCAAAAGCAAATTGATATAAATAGAGTACAAGAGGTACTCATCTCGATACAAAAAAAGCTACATACGGAAAAAATTTCTACCAACACCAACTGACCTACCCGACCGACAACTTGCAAAAATCAAAAAAATTGGAATTGGAATAGCTAATTTCTTTTATGCAGGACCATTTCCAAGCTAAAATCTTAATATTCCAAATCAGATCGTTTAGATTACAAATACCGTTATTGAAAATCGGTTCATTCCTGACCTTCCAAATGCTCCAAACTACTGCTAACCAAACCGCACTTCTCTTATTTCTAACCCCTTCAGATTTCCTAACACCCCGTCAAAGGATGAAATATTGAGAAACATCTCATGAGAACAAAACATCGCAATCCAACCACCGTCTCATGTAATGCCAAACCTGCGAGGAAAATTTACAGGTAAAAAACAAACTATTCATATCCTCAACAACAATAGAACAAAAATTACAATTCCTTTCCTCCTCTGAAAAGCAAATTCCTCTTGCTATCAATTAGTCCCGCGTCGCCACTCTACCGAGAAATTTTTTCCAGCCAAAAGCCTTAATATTAGCAGGAACCCTTGTCTTCTATAACAACCCAATCACATAAATCGTTTCTGATTCGGGCCATTGAGGTACCCAATCCAATCTCAACTGTTGATAACCTGCGCTAACCGTAAGCGAATCAGAATTCATATTCCTCCAAACCATTGAACCTTAGTGTTCTGAACCGGTTGAGTATTTGACAGTAAATTATGCATAAACCGAAATTCCTTTCCACCTACTGTCAAAAACTCTCTTGCAATTCCTAAATCATTCCAAGACCAACCTTCAGCAGACCAGTTGCCCATATTACCAACGACTTCCTTTTTTCTGCTACTGATATCATACAAATTTGGGCAAATTTCACTCAAAATGCCAGCTTCATGCCATTGAGCAATCCAAAAAGGGATTGAAAAGCCATCGCCCAAGGAATATGATATAAATTCTACAAAACTTAGACCCTTATTAGAAGCCAATTTACCAGCTTTACAAAGATCTTTCCACCAGAATGAAGCATCATACAATCCATTAAAACCTTTTTCTAACAACATGCTATGTTCCAATTCTCCATAACGCGCTTTCAAGACTTTCTTCCATAAGGAATTCTCAGTACTTAAAATCCTCCATCTCCATTTGGACAGTAAAGCCAGGTTGAACTCTTCAATGCATTTGATACCAAGTCCTTCTTGATCATTAGGCCTACACACTGTGTCCTACTTGACCCAATGTATTTTAGCCTTGTGACCGACCCTCCCTACAGAAAATGTTGTATGAATTTATCAATGTGTCGCCGCACCAAAGCTGGAACTTTATAGAAGAAAAGAAGGAAAATCGGGAGGCTGCTCAAAACAGAGTTGATCAAAGTGATTTTTCTTGCAAATGAAAGATGTCTACCTCTCCACAATGCAATCTATTTTCGCATTTTCTCTATTTCTATTCAAACAACCTCTCTCCACTCATATCATTTTGCTGACCGTCCATTTTAATTTTCTCATTACATTTCTCACTATTTTATAGACATATTTGTTGAAAAGGATTACAAGTGTGAGTAGTGTGGATAATAGTCTCACATTGGATATGAATGTGGTGACTTGAGCAATTTATAAGTGAGAGAACCAACTCACGTATCACCTTTTGGATGAATATGTGGTGTGTCTCTAAAAAATGTATTACTATAAAAAAGATATCTCACCGTTAAAAATACTCCTCGCTTAATTCCCGATTGTTACACCAACAATATTTAAAAAGTATGAGGATGATCTTGATCTCCCCTTATTTGTTCTAACAATAATTTCTACAACATTAATAGCCTCTCCAAAGGCAATATAAAAATGTTCTAAATTAAATAAATAATAATTATTAATTAAAATAATAATAAAATGACAAATAAGAAAATGGCTACTCGTTATTATAATTAATGATTATTTAATAAAAAATACTCACAAGTATTATTATTCATGTAAAAACTAACTCAAATTAGAACTCATATACAAGGATTTAAAAGCCACTTAACCACTAAGGCACTAACAAATAATTAGAAGATGTTCAATTTAAGGTTTTTTTATTTCTTTTTTATTTTAAAAAGTAACTCAAATCTTTTTAACTCAAATAGGAAAATGTTTAATTATAGTTATTTAGTATGAAAAATGTGAAGGAAAAGACTTATTGCACAAAAGTTTCTAGAAGATGTTCAATTTAAGTTTATTTTTTTAAAGTTAGGTTAACTTATAAATAAAATATTTTTTATTCAATTTTATCATAAATATTAATCTAATTATTATTTATCCGAGGTACGTAACTTAAAAAAAAATTAAAAAAAATAATTTCTTTTTAGAATGAAAAAATATTAAGTGAAACTAATAATAATAATAAATAAATAATTTTGAGTAAAACCAAGTTGACACTTCTACCATTTATACTCATTTAAAAAAAAGTGTGATTTTTAAATTTGTCGATAAGAAAAAAAAGATACATTTAAAAAAAAACATAATTATTTTATTTTAATATTTTATAGATATTTAACTTTTAATTTTGCCTTAGGCCTCAATATGTATTGGACGGACCCTGTCTTTGATTTATCCTATTTCAGAGAGTCCGATGTGTATTTGGTAGGGTGTTTGCAGTGTGGTTTGAATCGATTTTGAGACAAAATATCATACAATCCAAAAATAATTATACTCACGACTTAATTCAGTTTTGGATGATTGGTTAAAACATCTTATTCAATTTGATTTTGCAGTGTGGTTTGAATCGATTTTGAGGCAAAATATCATACAATCCAAAAATAATTATACTCACGACTTAATTCGGTTTTGGATGATTGGTTAAAACATCTTATTCAATTTGATTCAATTTCGTGCGATTTGATTTAGATTGATTTTTTAGATATCCAAATTACAAATTATATATTTTTAATTATATTATAAAATTACAAATTAATAATAAGAATGATACATTATATAACTTATATTATATTAAAAGATAATATTACAAAATAATAATAATCGTTTATAGTTGACACAAATAAAATAATAAATATAAATAGAGTAAGTCAAATTAATAAATAATATTTTAAAAAAAGTATCATCTAATAATAAACTAGCACAACATAACATGTCTATAAAAATAAATAAATATAAAAATATACACATACAGGTCGGTTTGACTTTAATCGATTTTGAAAAAATCAATTTAAAATTTCAATTCGAACCTAACCGTTTTTACAAAATGACATTCAAACACATTAAATATCTTTCAGTTTTTTTTCTCTGTTTTCCAATTTTTTAGATCATTTTTATTTAAATCAAGTTGCATTTTAACACCACTAGTATTTGATGCGTCTATATTTTAAATTCTGAAATTTAGGAATATTTTTAAAATTACTTTTTTTTTTCTGTGTGATTAAGGCATGCGGTGTAATTAACAACCCCCTTAAAAAATTAGTGGAACCTCTACTAATTTTAATCAATAGAATGAAACAGATGTTTGGAGCGGCGTTTAAGTCAAAATATCGCATCTTAAGGCTGTTTCATGAATAAAAGTCTAGTCACGTAATCTTAAGATCAAATTTTCACACTTGAAATGGACAACTATTAAATGGAAAATATCTTCTGTAAATGTTATAATCCCTCCCTCACACGAAGTTGAAGTCTTGAAGCACATAAATAGGAAGGGAAACGAACTAGAGACAGGTCAAAATCTCGAACAGTAAAATAAATATACTGCAATGAACACACTAAAAATAAAGCATTTACAGAATAAGATTTTATATACCCTGTGCAATGTGCGTACCATTTATATGGTCTTGAATCATGCAACTGCATGAATCTCAGGGTATTCTAGAAAGCCTATTATCTTTACAAACAAATGCTGTAATGAATAAAACTTACTTCGACAAGGAACTCGTCAAGAACAATGAAATCGAAAGAAAACTGTTAAAATTCATGTCTTGGCTCCTCAAAATGAAGGAATTGGCTATTTCGATATGCTCCTTTGATTAAATATACCAACCATTCCCCAAAACAATCCTTCGATGAATACAAATGCATGAGCATCAGATAGTAAACTGTTGACTTCGATATTTTATCTGCCGCCCAAAAGTCGAACAATTGCAATGAGAAACATGTTATGATGATGGCGTTTTCATTTCAGGAATTGGACCTAGTTGGAAATCCTAGCATGCTCTAACGATTTCCTTTCCATGATCATCTTCCGGAATATTTCGCGTCAACCTTCTCAGCCATATGTCATAGTTCATGGGATATGGCGTTCCGCATAGACTGTCGACGTAATCCGCAAAAGCTTTCAGCACTGTGGAAATATCACCAAGCTTCTGTTGAATTGATCTCCTTGACCACGATGTCTCTCTCCATTGTAGCGCTCCCTCTACTGAATCTAGATCAGGGAATACACCACCGCATGCATAATAAAGCATATAAACTAGGCTTTCTGCATCAGAGGCGGAGCATAGTTTTCCTTCCTGAAGTGCGTAAGTCGATGAGAAATGAAGATTCATGGCAGGACGATCTCTGTCTTCAAGAATTGCATGGCCCCACCCAATTAGAACAAAATAAGGGTGCCTCACACCAGACCTAACACAGATCACATTCTCTGGCCTGATGTCTCCGTGCCGTAGTCCCGCCGAGGTAGCAGTTGAGAGTGCTGATAAGCAATCATGGCAACATTTGATAGCCTCGTCTGAACCAAATCGGCCTGACTCTACCATTTCAGCGACTGTTTCACCAATTGGACTAGTCACAAGAACAGGAGTCCCGCACCAAGGGTGGTCACAATTTCCACCAGAGCTTGGCCTTCGACAATGACCGGGGTGTACGATCCTCCCAAAGGCAATTAATTCAGGCAGATATTTGTTCGAGAGACCTTTCTGCTTCATTATTGTCAATACTTTGGTTTGCCTCTGGACCTGATACCATAAATTCATATCTTCCCATGCTGGTTCCAGCTGGGAGGGATGAGAGCCCACATACAGAAACAGATCTATTCCCGGGTCTTCGACATACGATGCAATGTAGTATGTCAATTCACCAGTATTGATTACTTCTTGTATCTGATAACCCTTTTGCCCAGCTGAATCCTCGAGCCATAACAAAGATCCTTCTTCTAATTTCATCAACTCTTTGGAATCAACATTGACATAATCATCCTGAACTTCGACAATTTCAGGTGAAACACTACGCTGCTGGTAACGAAATAGGCCATTTCCATTCACTCTGGTGGTATCTCCTAACTGCCTCTCAATTCTTCTCGTCTGGAGACGTGAACTATGATCGGCAGCTAAATCCTCAATAGAGTACTTGGGCATTCCGGCATATTGCGTAATACAGTGAAAGGTTGCAAATAAAACCTGTAGAGCACCGATATCTCCCCAGTTTGCATTTCCTAGCTTGTTCCAGATTCTATAAATTGGAGAAACAGAAATTCTAGAATGATTTTTTACCCATTCGGCAGCACATTCATAAACATTATTCACATCAAAATTGAGCTTACTTACATCTCCTTCAACCTTTACAACTCCCCCGTATTGAGAATCAACTAGAAGAACAAAAACCGTGCTTGGATCCGGAAAGAAACTCAGTCTACTCAAACTCCTCGCCAACAACATTCGAATAGCATAAAATAGAGCTTCTCCTAGGACCGGTAAAGAAGGCTGCCGGTCGCTGCCAACAGCTAGACCTCTGATATCTGTTCTTAGAAGTGTTAATTCAAGGAGATGATCCCATTTCCCATGAGGATGTCTAGAATTATTAAGCAATATACCAGTGCCACAAAGTCCTCCAAGTCTTCCATTAGCAATAGCGTTTTCCGCCTGATAAAATTTCATGTTAGCATTATACAGACAAGCCGCAGAAAAAGGCATAGGCTCGTCTTGACTCCAAAATGCCTCCCACAAGCCCTTCATACTAGCATGTAGAAAATCTTCAATAGCAAGACAAGATGTTGCTTCTACAGCTTCAGACGTAGAAGCGTGAACAGCATTAGGCATGCGTGTCAGTTGCTGAAATGGAATCCCCTCTAATGCATAATCAAATTTTTGAAGTTCAATCAACTCAAATGGAACATCAAACACTTGCTGTTTCAATGTATATTTTTCTGTTACAGATTCAAACCAGTCTACAAGTTTTTCATTCAGATTGTCACTTTCGACAAATTTATAAAAGAACTCCTTCTGATTTCTAGACCTACTACCAGATGACACACTGGACCTCTTTGTCCCAGACCCGATTGATTCCTGGTCTGGGGATCTACCTGCAAATAGGTATCAAACTTCATTAAAATCACTATAACTATTGTTCCTTCTTTGAAGAAGAGTAGAATCATGCATTCATTAAGCTACTGGAATGAGCTAATGCTTATCCTTAAATTCGATGCAAGCAGTATATCTCAAAATAAATCACAAATGAATCAGATTTTTTATATACAATAATTATGTACAGATCAGGACTTGAGAGAGAGAAAAGGATTACAGTTTCTGAGTAAACAGATCTCACCATCTGTTATTTTCAGATGCTTGTCGCAGCGAAAGGCCATCGATCGACCAGAAAATTCAACTCGCACGTCAACCAATTGATGTAAAAGTGATAAACAGGGGGAAAACAAATTAATTCTTGCACCGTAACCGGCTTATTGCATAAATATTATTGTAAAAATAACCCGTTCCATCTATGCCAACTAAAAGCAATAAATTAAAGGCAGGTTCTTCATTAAATTCAGGCTTTAGTTACCCCCTTAGCCCATGGTTAGTGGGCATTGAGCTGTCAAAACATAGTTACAAGAAAACTCTTAAAAAAAAGACGTTTAAGTACTTTTAGGAGTCAAATGGATTTCTACTTGTTCAAAAATAGTTGTAAAAAACTACGGTACTTGTTCATATAATCCTTGTTACCACATATTGTTAATCACAAAATCATCACTATTCTCATTGCATATGATCATTATGTGATCACAACTAAGATAGGATACAACAGTCAACAACAACCAAGCTTTATCCCACTAAGTGGAGTCGGCTACATGGATCAACTTCCACCACAATGTTCTATCTAAAATCATGCTTTTATTCGAATCGTTAATCTCGAGATTTTTTAATAACTTCTCTTACAGTTTTTCTATGCTTTCCTTTAGCTCTAGCTATTTGCCTCCTCTCCATCTGATCTAATCTCCTTATTACAAAATCTACAAATATTCTCTCTAAATGTCCAAACCACCTAAGTCTATTTTCCACCATCTTTCTAAATGTCCAAAATCACTAACCGAACTCTTTTTGGGAAGCACCGTGCGATTTTATCCACTCACCTCGACTAACAAGCTACAAGCCACATAATATCAGACTTCAGTAGGATGATAGTGGGATCCCACAGAAGACCACTAAGATCAACAAAGTTGTTTAACGAGAATATATGATTCAAGCGCATGCCAATTGGATGAATCAGAGGTATTTTAAGCCCTATCTTTGAGGTTTAAAGTAATCTCTTCCCTCCCCTCACCTACATTTCCCCCAACCAAGAAACTACGCAAATCGATAACCGCCACGGCCAAACCGGAACCACAATTTCAAGCTCCCCACTTCTTAAATAAGGGAAAGGAGAAAAAATAGGCATAAAGGCTATCCAAAATTCACAAACATTAACAATCCACAAACACATCCCCTAAATTCCTAAAATTTCCTGAAATACTTGAATTTCATCTTTAATTCCTCAACCCAAAAATAGAAGCAAAATTCACATAAACAAATCCACAGCAACAATAAACGCATAATTCAGAAATAAAAACTGTAAGATAAGACGCAACCAAGAATAAGCAGAGTAAGTCAAATTGAGTCAAAGAAGCGTAAAACTCGAGAGAATTTAAATTTAGGGTTCAGAATAACACGAACAATTAAAAGAAGAAAAAGTGGAATAATAATAATAATAATAACAACATGAATAATACCTTGCATTTTTTTTTTCAGATCTTCCTTGAATTTCTCCCAGTATTATTTAATTAAGTTAAATTAAATTTATGATTAAGAGGAAAACGTGGTATTTAATTTACAGAGGAAGAACAAGATCCAACGAGTTTTGTTGGTTTGTTTTGCTCGGTCGCACGCACTAGCTTCCAGTTTCAGCACAAGTATGGATTTTGAAAAACACGGCATAAAGAAAGAGGTAATTTTGTTATTTTATTTTGTTACTGAAAGAAAGTTTCACTTTTAATTTTTAAGTTCATGCGTGGTTTTACTTTTGTGTTCTGTGACCTGTCATTTTGTTTCACTGTACAATAAAATTACTGTTACTGTTTCTCGCTGAATAATAAATATTTTATGATTATTAGTGTGTCCCGACATATATATGATAAGATACTCAGTAAATATGTAGTAGCTTAATTACATTGTTTGTATGGGAAATTAACAGAAACTAATTACTACATTTTAATCAAACGTTATTATGTTAAAAAAACAAATTCATGTTTCTTTTTCTTCAAAATATAAAATTCACTTCATTTCATTCATAATCAAATTTAAAATATCGGGTGGATTATAATTTAAATTAATATAATAAGATGCTCTTGCAAGAGCATGGGCATGTAATTTGTCTCTTAATAAAAATTAAGTTTAAATGTATTTTAATTTCTCTATTTAAAATTAGTGTTGTATCCCTCAAGTTTAAGTTTTTTTCCTTAGTATTTGTCTTTGATGTCATCTAGTGGTTAATTTTGATGATGTGAAAGTGGATAGGAAAACACATTTAAAATTATAGAAGTACTAAACATATTTGTCCATAAAATATGATACAAAAGTTAAAGTGTTAGAAAGTTAATACCACTTATTAGAGAAAAGAAAACTTATGTCCTATTAAAGAACTTTATTATGGACTACTAGAGGTGTAATTATAAATTTTGTTAGTGTGTTTGCTGTTTATGTTAATTTTTTTTTTTTGGCTCATAGCCCAATTTAATTTTGAAAAACTCTAGTTATATATGGTAAGTTTGGTTGTTTATTGAAGCTAAGAGAAAAGTTGTTTTATTATTTTATCTTCTTATGTAATTTAGATTTAGAGTAATAAAGTGTAATCTATTATTGGTATTTTTATCTCTTGAATTCATGACTCCACCAAATTTCTCCAACCCTTCTTTTAGAGAAATTGTAGAAGAAGTTGTCCAAACAACCCACGTACACCTAGATAATGCTATGAGTTAAACTCAACAACAAATAGATGAGAGGTTTTATAAAGCTACTGCAGATTTAGAACATCATGTTGGACAGGTTCACACCAGATTGTACAATGATAAACAAATTGCATATTCTAGATTTGACTCCATCGTGTTGATTATTAACAAGATTGCAACACAAAGGGAATAACATCACCCTGCTACTGTTCACTATACAACAAGCTCCTCAGGTATTACACAAAACTCTTCCCTTATTTCCCTAGTTACAACCCCTGCAACTTAGATTTTCACCCCTACAAACACCCATCTTCGAAACTCTGCAACATTTTCTAATAACCCTCCCCAACCTACAGTGACTATACCACCATGAATCACCGCTACACAACTTCCACCCCTTTTCCTTCCATACCTTTCTTCCCCAACTGCCTTTCACTCAACTCAGAATTATAACATTTTTTCCCATCGGATTCCATACTCCCAAATTTCTTAAATGTCCTCATTACCCCTTTTTCTGAATCCCTAAACTTGAACTTGTTATGTTTGATGGTTCCAACCTTTTAGAATGGTTGTTTCAAACTGATCAGTTTTTTCAATTTTATAATTTACCGCCTGAAAGTAGATTGTCCTTAATCTCAGTTTACATTAAAGGTGATGCTTTAGGTTGGTTTAAATGGATGCATCAAAATCAATTATTAAATGACTGATCTTCCTTTACTAAAACTTTAGAATTAGGTTTTGGTATGTCAATCTATGATAATCATCAAACTGAGTTATTTAAACTAAAGCAGGAAAGTTCTGCTGTGGACTACCAAACTAAATTTAAGAAATTAGGTAACCAAGTTGTTGGATTACCTCTAGATGCAATTTTAAATTGTTTTATTTCTGGTCTAGTAGTTAAAATTTGTAATGAAATGGCCATTCATCGACCTACTTCAATTTCCCAAGCTATTGGTCTTGCAAAACTCATTGAATTTAAACTCAAAGATGTCAAACCTAAGTTCCCTAAACCTCTCCATAACTACCACTCTAAACCTAACATTATTCCCACCAATTCTCAATCATTAAAATCCCCTCTTACAAATCAGCCACAAGGGACACTACCTCCCAAACCTCAACCCCACTCTTTACCTTCAAAATTACCCATTAAACGCCTTTCACAAGCTCAATCACAGGAAAGAAGGGCTCAAGGATTATGTTTTAATTGTGATGGAATATTTATTCTGGGCCACAAATGTTAAACTAGAAAATTTTTAATACTCTTGGCAGATGACGATTCTACGGATGATAATATTATCGTTGATGACAATGCTACACTGAAAGTTGAACAAGATCTTGGTGATACTTACTTTCACCTATCTCCACAAGCTATGACACGTCAATTCTCCCCACAAACATTAAAGTTCAAAGAATTAATTGGTGGAATAAATGTCATGGTTCTTGTTGATATTGCCAGTACACATAATATCATACAACCCCGAATTGTGCACCACCTAAACCTTAAAGCTACCCCTATTTCTCAATTTTCAGCTATGATGGGCAATAGATCCCATTTACATTGCAAAGAGATCTGCAACAATGTTCAACTTGTTCTCCAGAATAGACCCTTTACTCTTCCCTTTTACCTATTGTCCATAGAAGGCGCTGATGTCGTTCTTGGTATGGCTTGGTTGCAGACTTTAGGCCTTATCCAAGCAGATTTCTCAATCCCATCCATCACTTTTACCTATCAAGATAATTCTATTACCTTGAAAACTTAACCCTCATCCCACCCCATTCATACCTTATTTCACCAGCTTCTCCATCTCCTTCACACTAACTCAATATCATCATTCCATTTAATGATCATGTAGCCACTGGATTGTTCCTCAAACCAAACTAACCTGAGTTTTCCCAATATAAACACCTTACCTTCTAACCTCCACCCCAAGATTTCTAACCTTATCTCCGAATACCATAAAAATTTTCAATCCCCAACTGGCCTCCCACAAACTAGACCTCATGACCGTCACATTACACTTTTACCAAATACACCACCTATCAATGTGAAGCCATACCATTATACACACTCACATAATGATGCCATGACCTCTATCATATAGGAAATATTGCGGGATGGAATTATCATCCCTACTCCCTAATAATAGCCCATTTTTCTCACCTACGTTACTAGTAAAAAAATACGGTACTTAGCACTTTTGTGTTGATTACATATCATTTAATGCAATTACAATAAAAGACAAATTCCTTATACCCGCAATAGACGAACTGTTAAATGAGCTAGGATCTGCGACCATTTTTTCTAAGATAGACTTATGTTCAGGTTACCACCAGATCTGTGTTGCATCGAAAGATACTCATAAAAATAGCTTTTTACACTTTTGATGAGCATTATGATTTTTTAGTAATTCCCTTCGGATTAAATAACGCTCTATCTACTTTTCAGTCATCAATGAATGATTTATTGAAACCCTAGTTACAGTGCTTTGTGTTGGTTTTTTTAATGAAATTTTAATTTACAGTGACAATTTCAGTGATCACCTAATTCATTTGCAGGTTGTGTTTGACTTATTAAAATCCCATTCTTTTTTTGTGAAATTGCCAAAGTGTGTTTTTGCAGTTCATAAAGTTGCTTATTTAGGCCATGTGATTTCGATGGGTGGTGTTGCACCCGATCTAGATAAAGTGCAAGCCATTTTGGATTGGGCTCAATCGCGACACCTTTCGAACCTCTGTGGATTTTTGGACCTCACCGGATTTTATAGAAGCTTTGTGTGTAATTATGCCACTCTCGTCAATCCTCTCACCGATTTGTTGCGTTCCACTAAGTTCGCGTGGAGTACAGAGGATGATTTAGCCTCTACAAAGTTTTTTTTTTATAAAAAAAGACCAACATGCCGGTCCTGGTTCTACTAGATTTTACAAAGCATTTTATTGTGGAAACAGGTGTGCCAGGCGTGGCCATTAGTGCACTCTTGTCACATGACGGTCATCATATCACCTTCTTCAGCAAGAAAATATGCCCTCGATTGCAAGCAAATTCCGTTTACGTGCGAGAGATGTTTGTTGTCATAGAAGCTGTTAAACAATGGAGTCAATATCTCATTGGTCAAAATTTTCACATTTACACTAATCTTAAAAGTCTCATAAATTTGTTGTTACAGAAGATCCTAACACCAGAACAACAAAAATGGGCATCCAAGTTACAAGGCTTTAATTTTGAAATTTGTTACAAACTTATTAAATCGAATCTCGTAGCTGATACTTTGAGTAGAAATTTTTGCGTTGAAGAACCTCTGATGTTAGCCTTATCATCTCCCATTCCAGATCTCTTAACCAAACTACGTTAGTTTTAAGCAAAGGATAATGCAAGTCAACTTTTAATAAAACAGACTGACTAGAATACCAATCATAATAACTTGTATAATTTTTCAAAGGGCCTACTTTACTACAAAGATAGAATCTTTATACCTGACATTTCCACACTACGTGACAACATCCTCCAGGAACATCATCACACCCCTACAATAGGTCATTCAGGTGTTAGAGCCACTTTGGTCACATGAAAACACATCTTCATCCTCTTTAACTTTTCTTTTCATATGAAAACACAATTATGAACTCATATCTTAACTCAAAATTTTCCCCAAAATTTACTAAAATTATTTTAATGGACCAGCCCGAAGTTCGCGTGGTCGGCCTGACCCGACCTATGAAAAACATAAACCCGATGGGCTGGGCCAAAAATATAGATGTCATACCCTAAATGTTACCCCTTATATGTCATCATCA